GTGTACATGGAGTTTAAAGAGACAGCCTCAAAATGAGTTGATCTGAGACACGCCTCAGAAAAGGGGTGAAAGTGGGTTTTGTGGAGTTACAATAAGGTGGAATTCAAACTAAAGCTGTGCAGTACCACTTTGTGTAGACCCCAACTGAATGATCTAATGTGAAAAAGAAGGATTTAAAAGCAGGATTTGTCTCCTTTAACAGACAAATTCACACCACAGATTTACAAACTGAAAGTGGAGGAAAAAAACCCCTGAAGATCTGTGTTAAAAAAGGCAAAAAGATGTCCAAAAAGTTGAACAGAGCCGAAATGTAGCTAGAAATTGTATGAACAAGTTGTATTAAGCAAACAAATCATAAAAGGAAAGTAAAAAACTCACATTAGCAGAAAAACAAGAAAAAAGTACAAAAATGTTGCAATGAGCTGAAAGTAGCTGAAAAGTAGATTGAATAAGCACAAAAAAATTGGAAGAGCGTACATTTGCTGAATTAAGAAGCTGAAGTTATTGCAAAAATGTGAAGTTAGCAGAAAAAAGTTAAAGTTAACTAAAATAATGAAAAGACTAAAAATTTGCAAGAAAAGAAGCCAAAGGAAGCTGAAATTATAAGAAGCAGCCAAACCAGGGTAAAAGGTTAAAAAATATTTGATAAACATTTTGAAGAGCTTTAAGGACTTTGAAGATGAATCCATTAATTTTCAATGAGACAAAAAGTTGCCACACAAAAAGTTAAATAGCTAAAAAAGTACAGTATTAGTTGCTGAAATACCAATAGTCATAGCACCAACGGTATTAATGAGCTGAACATCTTGAAATATGAAATGTTAAAATAGCACAAAATTGTGGAATGAGTTGTCAAAAAGCAAGGAAGAAAATAAAAAGATAATCTCACACAAATACACTCGATGGTTAAACACAAATAGCTTATCAGTCAGTCACACTGTAGCAGCTCAATAAATTTCAGACCAGGTTAAGACGACCTACTGAAGTTCAAATCCCCTTCTGTCCCCTTTTCTGATGAGGGAAGAAAAGGGTTTTATGTGACTTTGAAAGTGGTGTTGGTGCCGGATAGGTCTGAGTATTTCAGAAACTGCTGATCTACTAATGTTTTTTTACACACAACCATATGGGTTAGAGCAAAAAGTCCAAAATAACACAATGAGTTGTAAGTGAGTGGACAAAAAAAAAAGCCTTGTCAGAAGTCAAAGGAGAAGCAGACTGGTTCAGGATTAAACTAAGTCAATAGTAGCTCAAAAAAATCACTCGTTCCAACCAAGGTCAGCAGAATACCATCTTTGAAACCTTGAAGCAGAAGAGATAAAGATCAGCAATTTCTGAGATACTCAAATCTATCTGGCACCAACAACCATGCTAAGGTCAACAAAGTCACTTGAGTTGCTGCCACGTAATTGGCTAATTTACTTTAGGTCTACTAGCCTTTTTGTTTTAAAAAGCAATTTAACAGGTGGACCAGCGAATGTATCAGCAATCACCTAAAATATAAATATTACTCACTTAGAAGAAAAAGAAAGTAAATTTGTGTTTGATAGATTATTTATTTGTTGTAATAATACTTCCTGGCAATAGATCTTATACTGTTCACCTGACTGGCAGCACCTCGGGGTACCGAAAGCTCAAAACAAGGGTCAATAGCAACAGCAAAATAAGCTATTTGGCTGAAAAGATTTAGCTTTTCCATGTGAACCCACACACTCAGCTCCTCCCACAGATGCATGTTCCTTACAAATGTGGCACCATTTAAAAGGGTAGCCCAATGAACAGGCTTTCCAACAGCATATTTATTGCCAAGAAGCAGCATACTGTTACAACAAAGAAATAATCTACCTTACTTACTTTTTGTGTTAAGTTTACATATCTGGAAATGATCTATTAGGACCACAAACTGGTGTTTCATGACTCCTAGTTGAGTCCCTGACCCCTACATTGAGAACCCCTCACCTATAGGCACAATTAGGTCAACTATTTTCCAATAAACTGAAATAGCCCAATAA